AATATACTAGCATTATCGTTAACTCTATCAATATTTGTATTAGTACACGGGTTTTATATATATATATATATATTAATTAAATCGAGGATGCACGTGCCAGTCAACCAGGTAAATACATTGGCGCTCGCATTTCGATCGTTATGCATAATTGTCAATATAATCGTTACAATAATTTATGGTCGTCCTATGAGACGGTCGTATAGGTGAGGACATCAAGAAACACATACACACACATACATATACAGGGTGTCCCAGACCATCCGTACAACCTTTTAAAATGAAAATAAATGGTTTTTATCAAAAATCGCGAATTTTTAAGTCAATCGGATACGCTCTATCAAATGGTGATATTTTCAACTCTTGATTCCGACCGGAAATACGCCATCCGGATCGGAAGTTGAATTTTTTTAGGGGAACATGGTACTTTTTATTACAGATTCGAATTGTAAGTGAAAAAATAAGAAACTTTTGTATCAAACATTTTTTCTAAAAGTGTCTCTGTCAATCTTAAAATTGAAGTTCATTATTTCATTACAGTTACTTTCAAGATCAATTTTAAGATTGACAGAGGCACTTTCAGAAAAAACGTTTGGTACAAAAGTTTCTTATTTTTTCACGTACAATTCGAATCTGTAATAAAAAGTGTCATGTTCCCCTAAAAAAATTCAACTTCCGATCCGGACGACGTATTTCCGGTCGGAATCAAAAGTTGAAAATATCACCATTTAATAAAACGTACCCGGTTTACTTAAAAAATGTTCGCGATTTTTTATAAAAGCCATTTATTTTCATTTTAAAAGAGGTGTACGGGTGATCTGGGACACCCTATATATATATATATGTTTCTTGATTTCCACTCCTATGCGCATCCACCTTGTTATATATGGATACACACGCGATCCAGTTCCACGCACCCAAATTATTGCGCACTCCACTTTGAGGACGATGTCCATGATATCTGTAGGTTGCGAATATATTATCTCTGTGCGAGAAATTTCATCAAAATACCGCGCAAGCGAATAGAACTCGCTCACCTCTGACTAAACCTTTAATAAACTCGACTTCGGATAATTCTCGCTTCCGTCGGGCATTTCGAAAAATAGTTCCGCCGGCGAACTTGCCAGAAGTCCGTACGAGAAGTCCTAGTATCGCACGATATTAGTTTTATGCGAATAAAGTTTCTCGCACAGCCTTCGCAAAGGCCATTGCAATCGAGCTTTGCGGAAATTTAGATACGCATATCGCGTACGCGAAAGATGTTAAAATGACATCTAACATGCTCGTGAAATATATTCGTTCGATCCGAAGCGTTCGATTCGATACGCATACGGAATATATCCGCATCAAAATTTCTATCAAAGATTCCACCATTAAAATTAACGTCAGTGAAGATTGCGTTATAGCGTTGGAAAATTTTTGGCTTCTCATTCCTTGTGGAACATCATTAATCACGGTAATTAATGTCTCTTTGTGGTTAGTTAAATAAAGGGTCATTAATTACCATCATTTATTATCTATTATCTAGTATCGTAGTTATAATCACAGTAGTACTATAATCATAATTACAATATGAATTAAAGTTGACATTCTCTATCGCATGCTACTTTTGCTCTCGTCTGCTTTAATACGTTTTTATCTTATAATAGTCTAATTTGCATTATGCACAAAAGTAATTTTTCGAAACAAAATGCACACTTAGTGCTTTTCGGGATGGTGAAATTCAATAGCGTTTTAAAAATAATTTTCATTAGCAGTACAAAGAGAGAGAGAGAGAGAGAGAGAGAGAGAGAGAGAGAGAGAGAGAGAGAGAGAGAGAGAGAGAGAGAGAAATTGTGACGCGAGCAAAAGAACCCAAAGAATTACATTAATGTGCGAAACATATTTCCACTTTGTGCTAAAAAGCATAACCCGGTTTTCAATACGGTCGAAACTCGTGTATATAGGAAATCGATTAGAATTTCATTTGATTTTTTTTTTCGTAATAAATGGAACGCGCATTTAATACTTTTCAAGAAGAAGAAATTTCAAGTTTTAATTGGTGCAATTTCTCTCTATTTATTTACGCATCCCGTGACAATTGTAATCTTAGGTTTTATATACCGCGTGTTTTTTATCTATGATACCGCGACATCTGCGGACAAAACGTGACTGTAATATTTGTCTATGCAATAATATACTTGGTGTGTGTTTGCTTCGTATACGTCAACCATTGCGAAGTCCGGTTAATTAATTATCCTCGGCGCAGCATGTGCTCCTTGCAAAAGAGAGACATAGAGAGAAAGAAGAAAAGAAAGAGAGAGAGAGAGAGAGAAAGGGAGAGAGAGAGGGAGAGGGGGGAGAGAGAGGGGGAGAGGGGAGAGAGAGAGAGAGAGAGAGAGAGAGAGAGAGAGAGAGAGAGAGAGAGAGAGAGAGAGAGAGAAATTGATAAAGTCGTGGATCCGCGCGCGCGCGCGCGCGCGTGAAAGAGTTACATTAGCCGACACACGAGCAAATTGCAACTGTTGGAGCACACGTATGCACACAATGTATATCGGTGCGACGATATACACGACGTGTTGTGTAAATCGAGAATCATGAGAACAATGTTTCACGCACATAGATCACGCGTGTCCTGTGCGTGTGTGTGGGTGCGTATAGCCCAGTATCAGACAACGGAACACAATTCAGCGCGCGAATCGTAGAGGAACATCAGCTGACGCGCTGCAGCTGCATGCCGACTTTACGATGCTGCATATTACTATACATTGTATATATACGAATTGTTCAGATACCAAGTGGCGAATCTGAAAAACAGAGGTGAAGAATGAAGACTTTTATTCGCTTCATCATTAGTATCACTGAACTCTGATATATACTGGAACGAGCCATCAGGAGTAGGGCGGCGGGCAAACTTGGAGAAAAATTCAATCGTATAGGTATCTTGATCCTTGTTGCGATTTCCTAATTGGTTAATTGCTTCGGTAAAACCCTTCTCTAAAAACATTGTCCCAAAAAAGTTTCGAGATAGTCTTCTAGAAAAGATCTATAAATAATTCGACAATAGTTTCCTATGATTGTATTCTTGTAACTAATTACATTAAGAATACTTATTATGTTACATGGCATTAACAACATTGAAATTAATTGAGGCAAATGTTCTTAGCAAAGGGTAGTACATATTAGAATGAGACAAGTGTACCTATACATTATTTGTGTCCTTTTCCCCAATTTTGACCGCCTCCACCATGCTTAAACAAAGGGATCCCTCGTATATATTGCAGTTCAGTGATTAGTATACATATAAACAATTGAACTATGCAGAACTGATTGTGATCCTGAAAGCAAATTTCAGTGTAATTACATGGTTGATAATAGATTGCAATGTCTACATCTCAAATCTGTTAATCAAAATCGAGTTTGGGTGGATTGGCACCACTTGGTACTCTGAGCTACTCATAATAATATACTCACATGATAATACATATGTATATATTCCTTTTTTCTTTTCTCTTTCTCTTTGCTGTAAAATAACTCATGCTAGTGTAATCTGTCTTCATTTTTCATAGTATCTTTCTTCAAGATTTTTATTTTCGGCATTACATTAGCTTTTCAAGTCGGATATTTTATCATATGTCAAATATATCAGTTTCCTGCGTAATGGATTGCTGTGCGAGTGAGAAAATTGTTCGCACTGACCCATTATCACTTGGCAGCATGAAAAACCGTTTCTCTTAATGGCAAGGTAAACATCCGACTTTACTAGCATCGTGAGAGATTGCGAGTGTGCAAACTGGGAATTCAACGTGCGTGCGCGAGTGAGTTTAGTACGCGTCGCTAAAACGGAATGTCAGCAGATAAGCGAGCATATGGCCATGGGTGCAAGTTTGCACCCACACACATGGCTCCACTTGCGATATATTATATACGAGTTGTCGAGAATTGAACGTACGAAAGAGACGAACTTGGCGAGACGAGCATACGTGCTCTCATCGTAACTCGCGAAATAATGTTCGTTAACTTTTCAAGCTAACTTCGCGGCTTAGCTATTATCCCGTAAATCCCGTTAATTGCAACAAAGTACATCCGAGACTCGGAAAAGAATCTACGGGAACAGTGATTAAACTACTTTACAAATTCTACTACACAAAAGGATCGGCGGAGAGATATCCCATATTGTCTCGACATTGCAATTGCATACATATTCCTTGAGTAACTTTTACGTTGACAAGCAAATTTTCAAGAGCAAATTGCGCGAAACATCACATATATTCTAGAGAGTAGTCAAGAGAGAAAGGGAGAAGGAAAATAGAAAGGGAAAAAGAGAGACATCTCATTTTTGATCTTGCAATTTAACACTTGTCCCGAGCAATGAGACTTGCACGTGCTCTCGCGCACACGTATGGGGATATGTGCACTCGCACATATCCCCATACGTCTTGACTGATCGCGAATACATACCAACCGTAGCGGCAAGTTTACGGACGGATGTACGTACGGATGTACGGACGGACGTCGGATCGATCCGTGGCCCTGGAAAAGGTGAGGGGCACGGGGATGGAAAGCACCGAGAGGTGGATGGCGACGTGGAGAGGGTGGTAGTTCTCCTCGCGATGGGGTGGGAAGGAAAGCCGTCGTGCCACGATGGGGAGAGGGATATGGTGGTCCTGGCAACTGCTGTGCGCCGTCGCGACGTCGCTCGACGTCGAGGCCAGTCGAGACTCTCCACCCGGTGGGGGTTGGGTTCTCTTCTTCCCCCTTATTGACTGTCTCTCTCTCTCTCTCTCTGTTCTTCCTCTTCCTACGTCCTGTCCCTCTTTCTCTCTCTTTCGTCGACTCTCTCGTGCTCTTCTTCCCCTCGCTATTCCTGCTGTCTTTGTTCATCCACCCTACTGGATCATCCATCTCGCTTCGATCAGCTCGTTCCCTCCCTTTCAGCCTCCTCCCGTCCCTCCCTTCGTCATTCCACCACCATCTCTCGCCCTGCCTCTCCCACTCTAGTCCAGTCTCACTCTCTCGCTGCGTAGCTCTGCAAAAACAAGCATACGGCTATCCCCAGTAGCACCCCGGTACACAAACCCGACAGAGCGTCACGTCGGGCGCTCCGCGTGCCTAGGGGTAACGTGGAGTCTGTCTCGTCTCGATCACACGCGATGAGCGCCACGCGTCACGTGCTACTTGCGCGTGACACTTGGCACGTCACGACGTAATTCTCGATGACGATCTCGACCCTATAACATCCTCGCGCCGGTAAAAAACCGTTGTCCTGATCATGGACAAATTTTGCACTTTCCTTCGCGACGAATCTCTCATCAAGACAGCCAGTCAAATCGTGCCAAGATCTCGGGATTACGCACGCAGAAAACTGTTATTCAACGTAGCATAGATTGTGACTTATCTGACAGTACTATCCGGACGTTCCAGGCGCGATCTCTTCGACCATCGATAGATCTCGAGACATTGAGAGGTGATCCAGAAGTGTTCTCGGCGTGAGAAAATTGATGAGGAGTAACGTAACAAGAAAATTGCGCGTGTATGAAGTCGATGATAATCGCGCGAAGATGAGCGTGTCGGGATGAAATGACGAGCAAAATCGGTAGCGTGCAATATTCGGTCGTTACAAATTCGCGGATTTCGCTCTCGAGGATTTTACCGCAGAAGATACGGCAGCATGAAGACGAGGACTCATCGAAAAGTTTGATGCTTATACGCGAGCTGAAACTTGTCCCATACTCGTCGTTTTTGGTGACGGTCGCCTTAGGATAACGGGATCGAAGCGTTTTATGATTGAGACTGCTTCGTAGTAAATCTCTTTTTCTCTCTTCCTCTTTCTCACTCTCTATCTCTCGTCTTCCCAACTTTCCTGGACTTCTTCGCAAGAGATTATATAGAACTCGAGGAATCATTAGAGCGTTATCATCACTGGTTGATGTCGGCCAAACTTCGTCCGGCCGTCGATAATTCGTAGGAATCGTCCAATCATAGTTTGATATCTCGTCGTCGGTCGCGCCTTTAATAACTGCGTCATGTGTAATGATTGATCGTTCCCAGCTTTCGAGAAAAAGAGAGAGAGAGAGAGAGAAAGAATGATTTCTTTAATATAGTATGCACGAATCACGTTGGCAATCAGAAATGAACATTCATTTAATCGGCACTCTTTTATCGAGCTGATCATTGTATGACAGATTAGGCTCATCTCGAAAAGAACTCAATGTGTATTGTTTAGGATGCGACAGGAATTTCTGCTGGATGTGACAGTCAAGGTGCTGAACTGATTTTAAAGAATTAATTCGCATTTTCACAGACCCTCGACCTTTCACGAACGTGTGAACATTTAGAGTAGTCCTTATCATCTGTTCGCGAGAGTGAATCGGTGCGGAGCGTGTTACGAACAATACAGATTATTTCGGGCATGAGGATTGGATGCTGCGATCGGCTGGCAGGATTTACACGCCACATTCGAAACGCTGGAGGAAGATTCTGACCGCTCGCACTAGTGGTAAGTCAATATATGCTGCATTTAATATTAAACGTACAATCCTTAATTTTTTACCCTAATGCCTGACACGTTGTTCATCACGAATTTATCAAGATATTTCTGGTAAATATAATTATATAATATATATATATATATATATATATATATATATGTATTAAATATATTATATAAAATTATATAAATAATATTAAATATATTATATAAAATTATATAATATATATATATGTATTAAATATATTATATAAAATGCAATCTTTAATAACAAGATTATTATTTGTGTTTTCTGCAAGAGTAAAAAATGTAAGATACAATTGTAAAATATAGAATTGTCATGGATCATATTTCTGATCTTCTCTCATTTAATCATATATTCTTCTTTGTAGTCGATCAGACATTAGCCATAAAATAATTGTCGTTCGATTAATTATAACTCGTATTTAACGTCCTTCATTGTTTGAAATAACCATTTATTCACGAAACAGTTATATACACTTGGACGACAATTTCCATGAATTCCTTTTGTACCTTTTTATGTTGTTTAACTGATGGGAATTCGCGTTTCTAATGAGAAAGAAAATTTAACGATTGCCTTTGGAACGGTTTTATCTACTAAAGCTTACAAAAACGTTTAAACTATAAATGTTCGCTGATCTAAGAAACATCCATTTAAATTAAACTATTGAAGAAGAGAGTATTAAACATCAATTGGCTCAAATTAAATTAATTTTACATGCGACAATTTAATTCTTCTTTGCCATCTTCAATAAATAGAGTCTTACATCTTATTGTTAGATCTTTCATCTTGCACATCTTTAATAATTATTAGAATTTGATTATATGGGAATACAGTCGCACGTAAAATAAATAAATTGTAGATAAATTGTAGAGTTAATGTAAAAATAAATTTCTAAAGAAGCCAAAGAATTTGTAATTTAGACCGTCATTAATATGTAATTTCTGAATAGTGAGCCTCGCAGCGCACGTACTCGCGGTTAAACCGATTCGCGATCGAACAAAGTTCATAACGCACGTTCTCGTAATTCCGTCCGCGATTCAATGCACCTGATATTTTAACAACGATTGTAATGGCACGCCATACGCAAGTTTCCAGATCGTTATACACAGTTAACTGCGTTTTAGATTAATTGATGAGCACAATTGAGTCTGATGGACGATCTCGCCCAAGTAAAACCGGTCGAATCATGTTTAAGTAATAATTACTTATAAAATAACGTCTCCGCGGATTTGGATTTATTTTCTAGATGAATCTCAAATCCGAGCTTCCAATCTCGAGGATCCAATTAATAAGTATGGCTTTCGAATCGTCCCGATGTAAAACGTAATAACATAATATATGAAACAAAATTCCGATTTTCACTTTGCTTTATTTTCACCTACTTTTCTCCCGAAAGAGACTCGTGTGTGTATTTCTTTATTCCTTACAAAAATTACTCGGAGGTAATTTCGAAAATTGCTCCGACTATTATACGATCTTGCAAATCGAATTATCTTTTCCCTGTGTACCTCTGAGAAAAATGCGCGGGCAAGTTTTTGCTACTTTTCAAATGAGCGTCAGCACACTCAATCTTGTTTACTGGCATTGCGTTTTATCGCATACCTATAACGTCTTCAATATCGGCAAGAGTCGCTTTTCCGACTGTCTTCCGTTTTCTGCTCTATTTCTACGTGTAAAATTTTTTATCCACGCGATATATAATAGATAGTTTAAATTAGTATTGAATTTATTAAACGGATATTCTCTTTCTATAATAATTTAATTTTCTCAAGAAATATTGACTCTGATTATCTATGAGAAAAAGTGAGATTTTTTATGCAAAAAAATAAAATATTGTATATGTGATATTTAATGATACATAATAACTTTCTTGAAAACCAGCTGAAGAGAGTTGAAGAAGGAGCGAGACAATTGATTGTGAGATAATCTTGTGGAATTCTCTGATCACAATGCTTGAATTTAGTGGCATCATTTTCGTAATAGCACGCACATCAACGTACATGTTCGTAATGATTTGACTTCTCACATAATAGTCATGGCAGCGATCTGCCATATTAACCTGCTAGAACGTGCCTGGATATATGCACTATACTTCGTTACGTTTCCTCTTACTTTCTCTCTCATATAATGTGTCATTTATTTTCTTATATCTAGATTCTTTGATGCAAAACATTAATTTGGAACAAGGATATTTTTGTGCAATTAAAATAAAAATATTTAAAACAAAAATCGGAAACATGCGAAAAGGAAATTTTGTACTTGAAGTATTATGCACGCATAAAACAATTCCAAAGTATAATTCATTCTTCACTTATTTTCACCACGCTGAACAATGAAAAAAGAATTCGACTTTATATCTTGACGTAATCTCTACGAGATTATAAATGGAATTGTAGAGCTTTTGCGACTGCCGATTTAAAAATTTTAATGAGCGTGTAAACCAGCGTCTGACTCTCGACGAAGTTTAATTGTACCTTTCACAATATACTCACAATATATTCGTTACTTCACTATATATTCGCTAAAGATTATAATGTATAAAGTATAAGAAAAATATTTGCAACACGAATTAAATTCTTCCAGTCCGTCAATTACAGAAGCGCGCTTATATTTTTATATATGTCATGTTATTTAAATATGTTATAATTATTAATTATAACTTTAAAATTAAAGAGCGAAGTGGCGCAGTAGATAGCGCACTAATCTTTGGCGCAAAGCCAAAGGTCTCGGGTTCGATTCCCGGTAAAACCGAAAAATTGTGTATGCTCGCTACTCTCTCGAAAAAAAGCAAGTGACAAATTCTTGCCAAGAACATCTCTCTAAGATAGCCGTTCGGCATTAAACTGCAGGTCCCATATACGTGTGATAAAGTTGCGAGAACTAATGCAAATTCAAGGTAATCTAGTGCGCAACACGGATATATTAGAGACTCTTTAATCAGAGTCACGAAATAACGTCAATAAGGTTGGATCGGCAACGCCATGTTTTTACTAAAACCGGAAATATTTATGGCAGGAAATAAATTTAATTTGAATAGTATTTGAAATAAATAATAAACAAATGAGATGAAAGAAAAATAAACTTATATTTCCGTCTCAAATATTATACATTGCTATAGTTTTACTATCAAAATGTTTCTTTTTTCCTTTGTGTTTTTCTACATGCAATTTTACATCTAAATACAGCGTATTTATTAAATATTTTCTTTTTCGTTGTGGCAATCAGATATAAAACTGCATTAAAATAAATAAGTATACATTATTTTATTCAAATAATTTAGATAAAATGATTAACGTCAAAAAATAACCTTGCAGAGAAATGAAGTATTGGTTGGATTCCAATTTTTTCGTCTCATTTGCTGCCCATTTTGCTCTTCGTTCTTTATCGCGTGGAGAAACTTTCATTACATATCCTTTTTCAGTTGAATTATTACAATTTAATACGGAACAACTAGGCATGTTTGTAATTTTAAACTATTTAATAAAAACATGGCGGCACCAATCAAAATTGGGGACGTTATTTCGTGACTCTGATTAGAGGGTCTCTAAGGTATATGAAAGAGAGAGATCAAAAAAGATGAAACCCTTCCTTTGGAAAAAAGGTTTAGCTTAAGACTGACAACCTCATCTAATAAAAAAAGCAACGAAACCATTATACAAACTAGGAAGTCCCGATTTGAACTGTAGCGCCATCGAATAGATGGAACTTTAGAATTATCATAAGAGATATTATAAATGTGAAAAATAAACATGAAAGGTATGAAAATTAACTAAAACTATATTTTATTAAATCATTAATCGTCACCTTGCGCTTTGCGACTTTGTTTGCGGCCTTGAATTTGCATTAGTTCTCGCAACTTTATTATGCAATCGTAAATATACTCTGCGACGCAGCTACTTCCTATTATAGTCATAAATAAATGCAGCACGTGCACGCGAGAAAAGAAAGAAGGAGAGAGAGAGAGAGAAGACGATAGAGAAAGAGTCAGAGAGTAGGATTTCTCTTACCATTATACACCGTGCGGAATAAAAATATCGCTATTAAAGTGGCGCCATTCTTGACGTCGTAGATTTCAAGCCAACGCTGGATATGCACTCTCGTCGCACGCGCTTTGCATATCAAGACTTGTGTATCAAGTTGTCCTTTGTGCATCACGTGACCGACACAGGCGGGCTGCAGGTTCATCTATCTCTCCTCCTGCTTCTCCTTTGCATACATACACCGTATGTGGGTTCGATCATTCTGCCGGAGTCCCATCATCTCGTGTCGCACGATTTTACGAGTTGATGCTTGTCCGGTAATCGTGTGATTACACGCTTGCATTTCACGAATATCATGTGTATATACGTATGCGCCGTGCATCCTCGAAGCAATATTTTCGTAACATGCGAGATCGCCGGCAAAATCACTCTCTCATACATACTTGAAAACGATTTAGACATTTCTTGTTTGTCAAATAATCCATACGATTTTATTTTTATATATTCATACAAAATATACATATATATCTTATAAAAAAATATATCACAAATATAGATGTACATTTATACAAAATATACAAATTTATATAAAATATAAATTTGCAACGGGCAAAAAAATTTTTTTTTTTAGAAACAACTATTTTTTTCTTTATACTAATCATCCTCTCATCATTTTCTGTATAAAAAGTATTGGGGTAAAATAATTGAAAAATGAATGTTTTACAAATTTTATAATTTATATCAAATTAAAGTATATAAAATATCTCATAAATTTTAAAAAAATCTTATAAAATTCAATTTTTGACCATTCTACCCTTATAACTCTTTACGCTGAATATTGAAGAATCGATTTACAAAAAAAAGATAGTTTTATTTTTTTTTAATTGATTTCTTTCCTTCATCTGATTTTGAAAAATCTTAAAAATTTAAGATAATCAATGTTTTCTCTCTCAAAACTTTATAAATTTTACTTGAAATATTTTTTCTACGACATCAAGTTTCGT